ATTGTTAATCAATCCAAATCCAGTCACCATTTCTTTTAAATTTGATTAAGCTTGGATTATCCAAGAACATAAAAACAGGGCACTCTGTCACAGGGCATCAGTCATTATCCAACCCCAACAGCTCTTTTCATGAGTTACCATATTGTTTAATCAACTCCAAATCCAGTCACCATTTCGTTTTAAATTTGAATTAAGCTTGGATTATCCAAGACAAACAGGGTCTAAAATAAAGAAGCAGATGTTTTATTCGGCATTGGCATGATGCGGTGCATATTTTGTTTCAAAATATTCCCCACCATCCCTGCCCTGTTTCGTGGATCGACAATCAGCAATAGCTGCGTGGAACTGAGTCAGCACCGAGTTTAATTGGACCATAAATGAGGCTTCCGATGATGACACCACTTGGCTCATCACATTATCCATTCAAGTAACTAAGACACACACTGCTTAGTGATTATTACATGAATGACAATGGGAAACAATGGAATTAGATTTGTTATGCCAAGCTATGAAAAAGTCATAGTCCAATTACTAGCATGTTGAAGCCCATTGAAACCTTTTACATCAAGCTTGTCGGAGGGATAATTATAAAAGTAAATATAGTATTATTATTTATAATAAAAAATAAAATTAAACATGTAATTTTATCTTAGTAAAAATACGTGATTTAAATTAAATTAGTAATTTAAAATATTATAAAAATAAAATAATTATATTTGATTAAAAATAAGGCTTAAGTATAAAATAAGTGTTTAAAATATATTTGTTTTCACGAATAATGTCTAAAGTATTTTCACCTCATTCAAATGCCTAACGTTACCACTTTGGTGTCGAGCCGTACGATGTTAAATTAAAATCGTTATCCATTTATTTGTGACGCGTGGTCATGATTTGAATTTCATTTACAAACTTCTACAAGGCTCAAGTATAAAATAAGTGTTCAAATTATACTTTTTTTTAATAGGTGCATGAAGTATTTTTCGACTCATCTAGTTGGTTAAGTTATAAACGTTGTCATTTTAGGTGCATGACGTTACAAACTTTACCGCTTTAGATATCTCTGTTTAACGGACATTAAAATTCTCGTTAAGTGACACGTCAAAATCTAGAATTTTGAAAAAATTATTTTTAAAAATATAAATATTATTAAAAAATGTGCTTCCCTTGCCCTACCCTCCCTCCCCTCTCTTTTCGTCATTTAATTTTCATGGCTAAACGGCCAAAATTCAAACGACCGGCCAATCAAATGGCTACGGGTTGGTTTCCACAGTAGATTAAACAATCGATTATCACGATCGATCAAATGAATTTAAGGAATTGGGTATTTGGAAATTTTAGGTTTTGAGATGATATTAAGAGTTACAACCAGTTAGTGGGTGGTCGACGAGCGTATAATTGTAAATATTAATATTATAATATTATTTGATTTTAATTTAAATGACTTTCTATAATCATATATACAATACAAATATTTATTCATATTTTTCATTAGATATAGATATCATATAAAATTCAAGGACTCGAGTAAAACTTGAAAATAAATCCATTAGTTACAAAAAAAATTTGAGTTATTAGAGTTGCATTTTACAACTCGATTTAATTTAAAAAATTCGAGTCGAGTCGAGGTTATGAAATTGTGATTTGAACTGAATTCGAGTCGAGTTTTTTCGAGTCAAATGAGTCGAAAATTTTGATTTTTGAATCGAGTCTAGTTTTGCTTACCCTTATTTCTCGGACAGAGAAAGTGACCCGACAGGAACGCCGTTTCTGGATCATGGGATACGTATGTATTGGCTTGCCAGCTTTAGGCTCTCTAACTTTTGTGATGGTGATGAATTTGTGGGGTGTAACAGGCTAAGCGTTAAACCCTTTAGCGTTCGCACCCAGGAATATGATTCTTGGACGTTTTAGCCGATCTGATTGTGGTTCGTCTCGATGCAATATATCATTGCAGGAATCCCAAACAGGCTCACTCAGCTCTGTCTTTTTCCAGCCTGGACGATAAAAACTGTATAGTTTAACCGCTCTCTAAACACATTTTATCTCTGTTGCCTGTTGGAAATGATGTTTGGTTTCAGCCGCCTTGAAGAGGCAAATAAATGGATACCTTTCTTCTCTTTAAGATTTAAAAACTTCGTTCTTCCATGCATGCACGTACAGGATGAGGGAGCGTGAGATCACCATTACATGTATACAGCTAAGGCGGGCAAGGACGGAGGTAAAGTCAAGAAAATGAAATGCTACCCGAAACCTATGGTAAATGATGTATGAAATCATCACATAATTAAATTATTCAATTTTGAAAATAATATCATTTTGATATATTTTCGCAAGGTCTAATCGAAAGAAGAAATAACAGTTGGCCTTTACGACTTACGAGAGGAGCGGCATTTTTGGACTTTCCATTTCACATGCTTATGGTTCCACCGTATCCCCCTTTCAGAACATCATACGCATCAAACTTGGGCAATGGTGAGCCGACTCATCAATTTATAGTTTCTTAAACTGCACTGACGGGTCTAGAACCATTCATTTTGGCCCAGTTTATACCCCACAATTGTTTGGTATCTTTAAGATCCTACAAACACGAGAAACATTACAAATTTGTCGATCACTTTCACGGCCTAAACAAAGGTCTGATGATGACCAAATTAGGGGCATGAGTGCCATTATGCCTAAAAACAATAAAATTCATGGCTGCCGACCAAATCAAACGACAAGCACGGCAGGTATAAAACACTTGAACATAAAATAATTAAAAGGAAAATGTTTCGCATGCTCTAGTCGACTGCCGACCATGCATGAATTACGCAAAAATCATTGTCACTTTTGGAATTTATATACACATAATGCTGGGTCAAACAGAAATGAATTCAAGTGGAAATGTACATCTGCTCAATGGATGGAAATTTTCAGATTTGAGTAACAACTTTGAAAATAATTAGCTAATTAGTGTCTCGTTTTTCACGACTCGTCGTTCATTTGGTCGGAATTTGTTGTAGTTTCTAGGGTATTGAAATCCATGGAAGTTTCCCATGATCCATCTCTGTTTCTTGGGAAACTGAGTTTTTATAAAATATATTAAGGTGTGTATATTATTTTAAAATTATAGCTTATCCCTAATATAATAAAACACGGTTGATCTAGAAATTTTTTTAAAGTGGATATGCATATTAATAATATAACATTTTTATACGATCAAATTTTAAGATGGTATCATAAAAGTTTAGGACGGAACACATATATTAATGAAAAAACTTTAAGTCTTAAATAAAAAAAATTCAAATTTGCTCACCCTATCATTCCGCCACTGTAATAAAAGAATGAAAATTTAAAAAGTGAAAAAATATTCCTTTATCATGCTCGCACATCTTTTTCACTCGATGGAGCTACCGACTCTCAATATATAGCATGAAAAGTGAAAAGAGATGTAAAAAAAATTGCAAGCGATACGATCTGGAAGACTTTGGAAACGAGACGGATCCCAACTGCTTATATCCGGGCGATTCGTGATATGTACTGTAGATCTACTACTTACGTCAGGACTACAGTTGGCGACACCGAGGCATTCCCGGTGGAAATCGGACTCCACCAGGGGTCGGCTCTTAGCCCTTACATCTTCGCCTTGATTATGGACGACATCTATTGTGCGACACCAGACGGTGTACCTTGGTGTATGCTTTTCGCTGACGACATTGTCCTAGTTGCTGAAACAAAATCTGAGTTGAATAGTAGACTGGCTACCTGGAAGACTGCTTTGGAAGAAAAGGTTTAAGGATCAATATTGAAAAGACAGAGTATTTATGTTCAAACTTCAATGGGAACCAAAACGATGAAGATGTAGAAGTATGCATAGAAGGACACGTTCTTCCCTCAAAGGATTGTTTCAAGTACTTAGGGTCTATGATACATAAAGATGGGGGTGTAGATGATGACGTTACACACCGTATAAAGGCGGGATGGCTAAAGTGGAGGGTCGCTACTGGAGTTTTGTGTGACAAGAAGGTGCCTCTAAAACTTAAGGGAAAATTTTATAGAATGGCAATAAGACCAGCGCTGTTGTATGGATCAGAATGTTGGGCAACCAAGAAGGATCACGTAAGGAGGATAGAGGCCGCAGAAATGAGAATGCTTCGATGGACATGTGGTAGGACTCTGTGGGATATGACGACAAACTCTGCTATTAGGATGTCCTTGGGGGTGGTGTCTGTTTTCGAAAAATTGAGGGAGGGAAGACTACGGTGGTTTGGGCATGTCCTTAGGCTACTACCGTCGGATGCGGTCAGGAGGGTAGAGTCGATTACAGTCGACGGTGTCAGAAGGAAGGACGACCAAGGCGGAAGTGGGAAGACTGCTTGAGATCTGATTTGATGGATTTAGGCCTTACCGAAGACATGACCTATGATAGGAAATTATGGAGGCTTGTGACTAGGGTAGTCGAGTAGTGTGGGTCACATCTATAGGGTGTATCATCTCTGTCTTCTTTTAATGCATTTGTAGTAATTTCCATGACTTTTACTTCTTATACTTTTCTGTTATTGGTATTTATGAAAGATTAGAACTGGGCTTGCTATCGTTGACTTTTGTGTATCATTCTCGTCATGTTTTCTCTGTTAAATTTAGCCGGGTCTTATGTTTCTATCTATATGCAGAGATTCTTTCGCAGGGATTATTTTGCAGGGATTACTCCCCATTACAGAAGCACATATGATATTAATGACTGCATATGAATACTGTTTAGCTATGTATTTATGTAATTATTTATACATGCATTGAATTTTATCTATATTTTTAATTTTCTGACTGCCGGAGGTCTACCACGGAAGCTATTCTCAACCTGGCGTTGGGGACAGCCTACTACCCTACCTCCCCTTACCCCATACATATGGGAATTGAGTTTTGTTGTTGTTGTGTCTAAGGCACACTAGAGATAATCTCAAACGGAAGTAGGAAAAGAACATCCATAGGTATAAAATGTATGTATTTTTGTACAAAATTGGGTTCAATTTGATGACTCCAAAACCAAATCTACCTAACCAAAGAATTAGCTGGATAGCCACTCCAAATTGGAATCCCAGTAACCACTCCAAGATCTCTTCGACTATCAATGGGAATTCCCAGCCCAATACCACCGGCCGAAGCAGCCTGGGAAGAACAATCGCGTAAAGCCCCTTTTAATCTCAAACAAACGTTAATAATACCATTCTTCAGCCCCTTGGGATCCCTCAACCGATAACTCAAATACTGCAAGCAATTCACCGGCGAATACCCTCCGACGAAATCCGTCACCGGAATTCTAGCAAACCCCACGGTTTTTTCCCCTCCCGAAGAGCCCTTGCAACATTTGACTTGTAAGGTAATGAAGACTGTTTGCATCGGCATGTCCATCACCAGCTTGTCGTTCCACGAAGGGTAGCTCCCGCCGTCTCTATTGATCTTCGTCGCCTTGTTGTTGAAAGAATCGACCGAAACGACAACGAATGCGTTCTTCTTGACCGGTTTGTTGCCGATCCTAAGGTCTTCTGCTGATAATATCGTGATCTCCAGAGTTCGAGACTTGGTCTCCATTGCAACGAATAAATGAGGAATGAAAGAACGATTCCAAGTAAAATAGAAATTCGAGAGGCGACGGCCGATGGGACGAAAGGATCGTTACAAAGAGTTATATATATAAACACACGTAAAGGAAGTTGATGAGAAAGGCAGTGGAAGAAGATAGGGTGTTCACGCTAGACTTTCAATATTTTACACCTAATTCAGACTATAAAATATAATAAGCTTTAAATTATCCAATGTATGTATAATAATGGCTAACTCATTCAACCATCCCCAAACAATATCTTGGATTATATATTAGTCCTTCAACTTCCAAACGTTCTTAAATAAATCTTCAAATATCAATACAGTTTAGTTAAAGCTTAATACAAAATAAGTGTCTAAACTATGTCTCGAAAATATTTTAGTGCTTAAATACTTTTTCGCTAAAATATGTTTTTTTAATTTTAGGTGACTACCATTATATTTTTAATTTTTATAAATAAAATATTATTTTTTTAAAAAATAACAAAACTTAATTTATTTATAAAAAACCCAAAATTTTCTAAAATTATAAAATAAACATGTGGGTTTTCAACCAAGCTATGGCGGCATCCTCCACGGAAAACGACAATGTTAATCGATGAAGGGACGGTTGGATTTTTCTTAGCGTGAGACGGTGCTTTCACTGATGGAAGCAATGATGGTCACGACTGGCTGGAGAATAATTCGACGGTGAATTAACTAACGATTTTTCTTGTTTTGTGACGATCGACGATCGATTTGGGTCATTGCTAGTAGAGGTTGGAGTCGCGAGGCACCGACGAAGTTGTTGTCGGTGGCGTCGAGGAAGAAGGAAGAAGGAAGGGGGAAGGGAGACGAGGGGAAGGGGACTATTTTTTAAAAATAATATATTTATTTTTTAATAAAAATATTTTTAATTTTTTAAATAAATTCTCAAAATTATCAGAACATTACACATGTCACTTAATGGGGATTTTTAACTGCGGTTAATGTTCAGGTACCTAAAAGTGTAACGTTGGAAACATTAGATACATATTTTTAACAAAAAAATTTTAGACACCAATTTTTTTAGACATAATTTAATCACTTATTTCTATATTAATCCTTTAATTGATATAGTTGTAAGTTTAGCCATTGATACTAACGAGGAGCATAGGTAGAATACATTGGTCGTTTTTCATAAAGAAAATGAAAGAAATTATCTAAAATCGACCAATGCATTCTACCTATGCTCCTCGTTAGTATCAATGGCTAAACTTACAACTATATCAATTAAAGGCTTAATATAGAAATAAGTGACTAACAAATATTTCGAAAAATATTTTAGTACCTAAATAATTTTTCGTTAAAATAGGTATCTAAAGTTTTATCCGTTATTTTAGGTGTCTACCGTTAAAAAAACCGTTAAGTGACACGTGTCATGTCTAGATTTTTAAAAAATATTTTTTAAAAAATCTGGAAGTGACATGTGTCGCTTAATCATTTTTTAATGGTAAGCACCTAAAATATAACGGAGAGAACTTAGGTATCTATTTTTAACAAAAATTCTTTAAGCACCAAAGATTAATTTTGAATATAATTTAAGCACTTATTTTTATATTAATCCAAAAAAACCATCTCTCTATATAATAAGTAGACATGTATTAAAAATTGGTTTTAAACATGGTTTATGTAGATTCGAGTTGTTATTTAATATTCAAATCCATATTTATATCTAATAAAAGGATCTAATTAATACTATACCAATTCAATCAGAATATTTTAAAGTTTAAAACAAATTTAAAATCTTTCATAATTTGAGGATGTTTGGTGAAATTAACCCACATATTAATGATAAGCATGGGAGCGTGGCATGGTTGGAGATATTCAATTTTTTGGCCGTGACGCTGTCGAGTCTCATATTCTATAGCCAGTTGGCCACCGTCGCCGTAAATCAACGATTAATTTACTATTTAATCCTTCAATTTTTCTTTTAATATTTAATAATGTCGAAGACAAAGCTTCTTATCCTTGAACCTTATTTTAAATTATGAAATTGCTGCGGCTGAGATTAAAATATTCGAATTCAAGATTTGGATTAAGAGTAGATGGAATTTTCTCTATTAACACTCACACTTTTATTTTATACTTATAAATATATATTTAAAAAGTAAATTTTACGCATTAAAGATTTTTTTTTGGGGGGAAGGAAATTCAAGGAGAAAAACGCAAATAAACAATGTTTTCAACCATTGGATTCAATTGGAACAGAAACCAATTCCAGTTCACATTTATACTAATGACACGTCTCTTGTTTGAATTTTCCTTTTGTCTCCTTTCTTTCTAATTTTTTTTATTCAAGGTAAATTGACAGGGAAATACATGTGTGTTTGTATATATAAGTCGCTTTTAATTATTTATTAATACTTGGAAGATCCCACGTTCTCATTTGTTTATGTATATATATTGATAAATTTGTGATGAATAGAAGATAATACATGTTCAAAGATTATTAATCATTTAACAATAACATTCATATTTATGTATACGCGATGTTTCTAACTCATAACTTGAAGAGATAATAATAATTTATTAACCACTGAGGTAGTTTGATTTTTCTCATTTATTTATATTTATAAATTATTTTCGAACATGAACCAAGTTATCTCAGTGAATAAATGAATTGTTGTTATTCATTGATTTCTCTGGTTCAAGCACTAGAAATGCCTGGGGTTTTAAAGGATTGCTGGTGTTATGGTTTAGTTTATATCGGTCAAAATCATGTACACTCTTTTTCCTCCAATAGAATCAGAGAGGTTTTTTAACGAGACTGATGCTTTTGACGTGGGTTTAAATCAATGAAATAATAACATCATTCCTTTAAAAAAAAAAGAATGCATGGGATGTAGCGTTTAGCGTTAAATGTTTGAGAGTCATTTTTTAATAAATACTATCTTATATTTGTCCTAAATTAATAAAAAAATATTTCTGGTAAAAGAAGTAATATAAGAACCAAACTCAAATTAAAATTGGAGCGTAACAAAAATAAAAACTTGGTAAGCAAAGGCCAGCGGTCACACTTCCTTTAATAAGGCTTAAGAATAATAAAATCAAAGTAAGAATTAGAATATTATAATCTTAGTAACTTGGGAAGGAAACTTGTCAATTTTTATCTTAGTTTTGAAAAATCAATTTTATTAATCTAAAATCAAATTCATTTTATAAAAAATGTTCAATTTTAATTAACTATCATAAAATTAATTCGAATAAATAATTTTAAAAATCATTAGATTTTGAAAATCAATTGGTCGAGAGTGCCCGGTGGGTCATGATGGAAAACCCGGCGTTACTGCTGAAACACGGTCCCTCAAACCAACGTGATTTGCACTTTCATTTTATCAAATTTGTTTTCTTTTTATTAAGTACTGCTTCTAGTAATGCCACCTTTATCACCGATGGAGGATCAAAAATAATTTTCAGGTGAGCGCGCGCGCGCATATATATATATATATATATATATTAACAATATAAATTTTTTAAATAAGACGAGTATAAATAAAATTTTAGGATAAACATTATACGTAAAATAAGTAATTTATCGAAGAAAACTCATATTTTAGGATGTGCACAAAATTTTTTAAAGTAAATACCATAAATAAAATAAGTAATTATTCAAAAAAAAAAATTAAAATTTTAATAAAATGAACCATAAAAAAAAAGGATAAAACTGTTAAAAATACAGTCGAAACCATTAGAAAGACATCGAGAATGTTGATGGTAGCGTCAAACGACAAAGAAAACCACTCCGAAACCGCGATGACAAACAGAAAAAACCTTTTGAAACCAAGGCGTTCTTCCATTGCCATCAAACCTCCAACAACCAATACTCAAGTCCTTCAGCCTAAAAGGCGAGTATCCAGTATCCACCGCTACCCTCTGGCCGGATTTGCACACGATAACGCCACTCCACAGGTCTACTTCCGTCTAAGGTACAATTAACAGACCTTTGGCACCAAAGTTGCTAACTACCCACCATGCTTTAGTTGTGTTTTGACCTTCACGTGATTTATTTGGACTCTGAGATTGAGCCTGATATTTTTTGTCGTACCCAAGCTTTGAACTTTGAAGCAACAATGTTCTTGGCTGACACCACTGTATCTACATCAGCAGAGGTTGCAGATGAATTTTTCTCTGTGTAATTGTCCCGGTTTGTCGACGCTATATGTATGCTCTTCGGGAGTTGGAAGAGTGCGTAATGGTCGAGTTGGCTCAGGTAAGAATTGGTCATGGGTTCCGGTCGAGAAGGGTAAGTCGGATGATTTAGGTTGAGTTGCAGAAGGTAAGTTTTGCTCTCTTCCCGTGTCATGCTCATCATTGATTTTCATTTTATCCATTGAATGAAGAATTGGAGCAATCCCTGTTGCTTCTCCACCTGTTGCAATGTTATCATACTGTTCTTCTCTATACAGTATTGTATTTTGGTCTAGAATTTGGATTTACAAATTCTATTAAAACATGGTGTCATGGAATGATGTCCGAATAAACAATTGAAGTGTCTTATCCTTTACCTGTCTTGTCCTCATTTAAATTTAACTTTAAATTTGACATACAAATCTGATACTCCCCAAGATATGAGATGTAAATCTATTGTATGAATATCATTCTTTTGGTGGTCTGCTAGAATCTCCTTGTTCATGCCGTTGATTCTGCAACATGTTGAAGAAAAGGTTGATTTGCAATAATTGGATGATAATAAACAATACCATGATTTGGCACCAAAGTTGCTAACTACCCATCATGCCCAACCCTCGAATCCCCAAACATTTCCATCCTTTCCATGGAAAAAACTTTCACAATATCTAGGCGTTGTCAATGCTTCCAGGATCTGTTCAAAACGATTTTTGGGTTTTTGATTTTGTGGAGGTTATGATTTTCAATGGGTTTTTGATTTTTTTGGAAGTTAGGGTTTTCAAAGGTAGTAGAAGAAGGAAGAGGTTAACGGGCATTACCTGCCACTAACGGTAACGGAGGTAACGACAGGGACAGAAATGAAAACGAATTAAAAGTCCGGTGACTTTATTGCAAGTTTAAAAAGTTGGGTGACCAAAATGCAAGTGACCTAAAAATTAGAAGACTATTTATATACTTTACCTAATTATTAACAAACATCGGTAGAATATGTTACACATCTATCATACAAATTCCATTTCATATTTTGGGTATGTATGAACAAACGAATATAATTAAATAACTAATCATTAACTTTGAATATAAATAAAAAAAATCTTTAAAATTGAAATACATTGGATTCAAAATATTCTAAATTCTTTCCCATTGAATTTGAATAAAGTAGTACACTTTTTCTTAACATATTTTATATTACTCGAATTCAATATGAACATCGAGTATAACTAAGAACTGAACTCCTGCTAACGAAAAATTCGGAACTGACCTTTTAATTTTAGCTTCACTCGAATGGATTTGGTGCTTAAAGAATTATCTGTAGCAGATATTCTAGTCAATATTACTAGATGATCCCCTCACAATTCCATCGAATGCATATCCGACGTTTTTCTCTACAGATCTTACTGCATCTGTGGTGTCGAGTTTGGGTGACTTGGTTGGAGATGGAAAAAGCTCCTTTGCGTTGCCATTGCCAGATTTTGTTCTTGTTTGAGAGCTTCTTTTCCGAATGATTGATGGTATGTTTTTAAAACCCTTGGCTGCATTTCTCAATATCGATGCCGGACTCGATGCCGTCCCGACGTAACCATCTGTATCGGGAGATTCACCGGTCGTCCTGTATGTATTCAAATCCTTCCGCTGAAGCGACTCATAGCTGAAGAAACCAACTCTGATACTACAGTTTTCGGGTTCTGGAGCATTACAAGAATGGACTTGGTGGTTTTGAGTACTCGGATCATGTGCATGGTCGTTTGAAGAAGACGGTCTAATTAGATCATTTGCAGCATAGAAGTCTATACTTGTTCCATGGTTTCCTACATTAATTTGAGAAGCTGCCAGTAGCTCTACTTTCTTCCTCACGGAGCAGTTCCAGAGATTCTTTATTGAATTTTCTGTCCTGTAATATTGAAAACGAAGGTGATTGCTTGGTTTCTTCAGATATCCACTGGATAGTTCTCGGGACATACCTTCCAGGAAGAAGCTTCGCTATCTTCGCCCACTGGTTCCCATACATTCCATGTGCCCTGATAAGAATCAGCTCTTCCTCTTCGGTCCAAGCACTTTTCTTTATATCTGGATTCAAGTGATTGCACCACCTGGATAAACACTTGGCTTTTACTTTATCTGTATGAAAACAATACCAAATAGAGCTATATGTTATCAGCAAGTGATCAGGGACCTTTCTCGGCATTGCTTGCCGATGCGGCCTGGCAAATCTTTAGCTATTTCAGACCACTTCTTCTTCCCTTGCTTCTCCACGAGCTCAAAGATAATATCATCTTCCTGAGAGACCAAACAGACAAAGAATGAAGCGCTGTCATATATGATCCTAGACAGGCTCGAATTGAAATAAATAAAAAGGCGAGGAGCAACATCGTTCAATTAGCACCTCCTTGCTCCAGGGTCCTTTAACGAGGTCTGGATTAAGAACCTTCTGCCATCGATGTAGGCACTGAACATCTGTTCTATGAGGAACCAACTCGGCTAAAATAAGCAAATGATGTCAACAATGGTTGATGAAACAGGACACAATAAGAGGTTATGATCCGCCACACTTCATTCCACTCTAGAAACATAAAGCAACGGCCAAAATCATTCAAACACCAGCACACACGTACCTATCTTCTTCCAGTTTTTTCCATTGAACTTTTGGACAGCAATGGTCAACATGTTGTCCTGTTTAACAAATGGAAAGAAGAAAACTAAACAAAATATGCATTTCTTATAATGAGAAAAAGACCTTGTAATTCAAGCATCAACAATGTCACTGTTGTGAATATAACGAGTACTACTATTTATTTTAAATACCATCTAAGATAACAAAATCAGGGGCAATGATCTATTGAAAAGAAGCTACTCAATACTGACCTCCTCCTCTGTCCAGCCTCCCTTAGTTGATCGTCTAGTGGGACCTGAGATCCTCCTAAACAAACAGTAGAACCCTAATTTAAAAGATATATATATATATATATATCTCAGATTCATAATTGATATAGAAAAGAGTTAAAAAGAAGAAAAATAAAAGAAAACCCTTGAACAGAGACTGTCTTTCGAACTGCATTATCAGTTGTATCAGCAATGCTCGTGGCATTATCAGTATCACCTTCCTCCTTGACTTGTTTCATACTCTAAAATATACCATTACCCAAAAAGGTTTTTCTTTTTCTAAACCCTAACCAAACCTTAACCAGCAAGGCAAAGGCACAAATCCTTTTTTATTATTATTAAAAAACCCTAATCCAGAACTGGAACTTAGGTTTTAATTCCAATGGTGTTTTAGTGGTCAAAAGGGTTTTCTTTTCAAAGAGAAACAAAATCAAACACTTCGGCTTTTGTTAGTCTCCTTGCAAAAGTTTTATTTTCTTAAAAAAATTAAAATAAATGAAGCGATGAGCAGATAAATACAATTACAGAAGGATAGGAAGCAGAGTCCTAAAAGTTTGCTTCTTCTTTTTTTCCTCTCTTTTTTTTAATCATAGTTTAGCGGGAAAATAAATAAAAAACTTCATGTTCATCCCTTCATTCAACATTATTCCAGTTATATTTCTAAGTTTAAATTTTATGAATCCCCCCCCCCCCACACATGTCTCTCTCTCTATATATATATTTATTAAAAATAGAAAAATTAAACCGTATACAATGTATAATCGAGACCATATTTCGGATAGTCAAACTGGTCATATATCTGGATAATCTGAAAAAGAAAGACAAAAACAAAGTGAGCTACAAGGCTCAATGTGTCTTCTAAAATTTAATCAGGTAATACTGCAAAGCTGAAAAAATTTCAAGTACAAAATAATAAACAAAATAATAATCAACCAATGTTAGAAATTAGATATTTTTCCAGCAGAATATCCCAATAGAAATTCACAATCTTACATTTCGTTTCAAATCAACAAAATATGCACATTACCTTACAAAGAGACATCGAAAACTGAATACCAAAGTCAAAATGGAAATTTAGCCCTCATATTATGATCTAAGACATAGTCAGGACAGAGATATAATCTCATACATATGTCAGAAAGAGAAATTTATCCCCATACAGATGTCAAACGGGGAGTTAATCCCATACAAATGTTAGAACGGGGAATGAGATCCCATGCATAATCAAGATGGGGACTAAGCCCATGCAGAATCAGGACAGAGAATAAATCCCATGCAGAATCAAGACGGGGATTATGCCCTCCATAGAGGATCTCATGTAGATATCATAAATGCATCAACATGCAAATTAATGGTGATGTCACAGTATTCATAAGTCAGATATGTCGCGTATATATAAATATATATATAATCATATCACAAACATGTTTACATATAGCAACATATAACATAACACGTTAAATATATCAAACATGTCAAGGGGACACATCTATAAGAGAAAAAATGCAAATCGGCCAGGCCTTACGTTTCCCACGTTAGTAGTACTAGGCCCTACATAATGGAATATAAACAGTACTAGTCTATGAACACAAAATCCATAATTCTAAACGGTAAAAGACTATAAAGTCACTAAATAATACTTATGCGTATCTCGAGACAAATGGGCAGAATCAAACTGAGCTAAACGAGAACGGTCAGGGTGAACTGGTGAATGATGCTGAGAAGCGTGATCACCTTCAGGAATCAATATTAGAAAGTGAGTTCATAATCACACAATTTTCTTAATTAAATAATGACTTTAACCAATAAGTGATGCAAAACAAGGATTTTCGAGTCAGAATTTGGTCAAACAAACTACTAAAATGGACTCAGGACGTCAAAAACATAAAAATAGGTGGTTTTAGAAAAAGTCAATGTTCAAATTCAAAGTCAACGGTCAACGGATCAATCAAACGGTTCGGATTAACGGGTCGGTGATCGGCCCATCCGGTTTGGTCCAAAGGGTGATTGGTTCAGTCGGTCCAAATTTTCGGATGAATCCCACTCGCGCACGACGACGCGTGGGGGACTTTACGGTGGCCAAAAAAATACCAAAATTTGAAGAAAAATAATTCCAACTACGGGGAATCATTTACCGAGGTTAGTTTGTGAAAAAGATCAACGGAGATGGTGTTTTTAGCAAAACTCGAACATTCAAAACTTCACCGATTGCAAACGGCGATGGTGAACGAAAATCCAAGGACACCAGACGAACGGGGTCGATGAGACGAACGCAATGGTACTGGAGGTGTCGAACATCTCCTCTTGATTAACAACGAATCGAAGAAAAACCAAAAACATTTTGTTAAGAGAGAGAACCGAATAAGGTGCCCATTTCTTTTCAAAATACCAAATAGTAACCATGAATGCATGTTTTGGGTTATCAAACCCCAAAATTTATGGGTTAATCATAACACAAAGAACCATATTTTTTAAGAGTTTCCCAAATAGACTAGTAAACTTTCCAACACTTCAATTTAACCCAATTTTTTGGTGTTATAACTCTCCACCCTTAAGAAAAGTTCGACCCCAAAATTTTAGCTGACAGAAAAAGATAAGGAATTAACATCCTCATAGACACTAGAGTCTCTAAAATGACCTTCACAAACTACGATTACTCTATAGTATTTTAACTGTCGTATTCATATTATTCTCATAAATTGACCCTCACAGATAAGCATTTGAATAGTTTTTTTAAACTGAAATAAGATCTTAGTTCATTAATCTCAACAAAAACAACATAAGGGGCTAGTAATAATTAATCACGAACACACTCAAGCTCTAGCAGCATCTCATGTCAAGGAGTAAACATTAATCAATGGTAAATGAAACCTTCAATCATCTCGGAACACTATAATACGACATTTCAGCATATCTTCCAGTATATGAGTAATCCGTTCAAGAACCCACCAGTTTGAGGATAATAAATGGTATCGAAATTTCAATCGCAGACACAAAGCTTTAGGAAGAGTCTTTTGAATTGTGACATAAACCCCAGTCACTATAGACAAGGAAAACTCGCCAAAATGAACAATCTCAAAAGTAAACAACCCAATTAGTTACCAGAAATGTAACCAATTTGAACAAGAATAAAATAAACGGACTTATCGAGATGATCGATAAAACACAAACTGAATCTTACTTTGATAGAGTCAAAGGCAATCTACTGATAAAATCTACAGTTACTTATTCACAAATCCATTTTGAAGTCTGTATGAGTTGAAATAAACTAGGTAGAGATAGAATTCTAGTTTTCATACTTTTAGAGTAATTCCCGAAATTAACTCTCTCCCCTAAAGATAGTCTGAATCAGAGTAATACAAATGTAACATCGTTTTGGTTTTCAAATATAGACAATACATGAGAAATTCTTATATCTAGTCTCATTCAAAATACTTCAGAACCTATACTCATGTTTTATGAATGAATATCACATATAGAGTTAATAATTCATGAGGAAGAGGAATGATAATGTCATAACACTTTCCCCAAGTCAGATTGAATTAGAATGATACAAATATCATATTTATTAACCAAATGAGGAAGCTATTAGTAGATATCAAAATTAATCTATAGAGGATTTGAAGGAATTCAAAAGGGTTCATATCAAAATAATATTTCATTCTGTAAAGTCAAACTTTACACAAATTTTTAGTAGAATAAAAAATTAAACAGAATATTGCTCATCATTCTTGTACATAAGAAACTACAATGTAACAGAATAAGAACTCAAACATGTTAAAGTTATTACATGGATCCATTTATATTTTTATATTATCACATAGAACTGAAATTTTATCAAAACTCATAATCGAGAGAGCTTGGAAGAATATTTAGCATATGGTTAAAGATTTTACCTCTTAGTAACAGGTATTTCGGTTAGAGTTTCCCATATAAAACTGAACATAATGCTGAAAATCAGATATTAACACATCTTATTTTCAGGAGGAAATTGATAATAAATTCATATTTTTTAAATAACTGAGGAGGACTAAAGAGTGTTAAAACAAAATTAAGAACATGTGTTGTTATTTGACTTAATTGCAAGAGTTCAAACCTTACACCCAAAATAACCAATTAATATGTTTAAACGACATCAAACATCCAAACCAGGCTCACGACTATATATATATTTTAAATATTAAACTATCATTACAGATAATTAGTAACTTTACAAAATGACATCGAAGTCTCGATAATTTTATAAAATACTTGAAAAATCTTGTGGCATGATTTTTCAAAAACATTTTTCATACTTTTCTAAAAATCTTTTTACAAGTTTGTTTAAAACAAAATTTCATAATTATAGCAGGTTGCACAGTCTGAGAGTTTAAACTTGGACTTTGATACCACTAATATAACCCCCTAGACCCAACTTTGGAGTTACAACTGAATCATATTGATCATATATACGAACCAAGAACGAAAATTTTTAATAAGCCGTTCTGAAAATGTTTATCGAATATAAAATCAGAAATAAACTCATGCCACATTTTAAAAAGACTGAAAAGTAAATATTAAAATGCATATAGTGTATAATCGAGACCATAGGTCCTATATATGGATAATCTAAAAAAGAAATATAGAAACAGAGTGAGCTACAAGGCTCAATGTGTCCTCTAAAATTTAATCAGGTAATACCACAACACAGAAAAATTTCAAGTATAAAATAATAAACAAAATAATAATCGACCAATATTAAAATTTAGATACATTACCAGCAGAATGTCCCAACAGAAATTCACAATCTTACCTTTTGTTTTGAATCAACAAAATATGCACATTACCTTACAAGGAGACATCGAAAGCTGAATACCAAAATCAAAATGAGAATTTAGCCCTCATATGAAGATCTTAAACAGAGACAGGAGGGAGATATAATATCATGCAGATGTGAGAACGAGGAATTAATCCCATGCAGATGTCAGAACGGGAAGATTTTCCATACAAATGTCTGAACGGGGAAAGAGATCTCATGCAGAACCAAGACGGGGACTAAGCCCATGCAGAATCAAGAAGGGAACAAATCTCATGTAGAATCAAGATGAATATTATACTCTCCATAGAGGATCCCATGCAGATATCATAAATGCATCAACATGCAAATTAATGGTGATGTCTCAGTATTCAGAAGTCAGATATGTCGTGTATATATATATATATATAATCATATCACAAACATATTTACAGATAGCAACATATAACATAACATGTTAAATATATTGAACATGTCAAGAGGACACACCTATAAGATAAAAATGCATATCGGTCAGGCATTACATTTCTCACGTTAATAGTACTAGGTCATGCGGAATGGGAACCTAAAATTGTACTAGTTTATGAACATAAAATCCATAATCCTAAATGATAAAAGACTATAAAGTCACTAAATAATACTTATGTGTATCTCGAGATAAACGGGAATAATCGAATTGAGC